CTATCTCATGTTCATGAATCAGGAGAACACATAATGGACGAAAGGAATTATAGTGTGGACTCCACATGGATACGGACGTCACCTGGAGCGACCACCTTCACGTTGGGCGGATGTGTTCGTAACTAGAATCAGTAAACTGCACTCTCCGCTGCATTTGTTTCACAGATCACGGTATGAGACTCGCATCATGCTCTAACCAAACTACCGCCATGGATGGTGACTGCGAGGCAAAGAATCGAATAGAAAATGTGCTGGGTTATGCACAACTCGTGAATGTGGGCAGCCGAAGTATCCAAGTTAGTGAGTAGGAAGGAGCTTCACGGAGCTTTTGGTTCAGAGCCTTCCTATAGAAATTTTGTCATCATATCGTTGACTTTCTTTCTTCTGTTGGTTTAACATCAGATGAAACCCAGCTGCTTGCTACACTTGTTCATTGGTTGTAGGTAAGACACATCACGTCGGTGTGGCCTAGCCTATTTTCGATATCTTGACGTATGTAGCAGCCTAACTAATCTCTGATCTTCACCGTTTATGGGCCTTCGGATTTCCTGTCTCACACCCTTAATACAAGGTACTACTAGCATCGCCGTCGAATAGGTGAAGGTCTGACGGTTCCAAATGTTCTCTCTCGCCTTTGCTACCTCGCCGATGCGCTTGGAACTCCTCGAATCTACCACATCCTACTATCCAGTTCTGGAACTAATCTATTTGTTTCCAGACCAAAACATACTTGTCTAGAATAGTTTGTCCTTTTTCATGCACAGAATAAATAAAAATTATTGAAACGAAATTCGCAAAACGTTTTATTTTACGGCATGGCATGATTTTGCGTCAGAAGCACGTTGTCTTTCCGTCTTAATATTTATTTCCCACGGCTGTTTAAAATTTGATTTTGCAGTCGTAAAATCCAGTTGATGTCATGAATTGGATTAAATCTAAGATTAAATGGGAACTAGTTTTTCTCGCGTTCCTGCCAACTTTATGAAATTTATACCACTACAATGATGCTGAGACATTTGCAAAGCTCCGGACCGCTGATGTTTGCAGTGGGGACCGAACTCGCTCTTCGAGGAAATTGATACCGTTGGTGAAGTAGCATAGTAATTCTAAAGCATATGATCCGTTAGTTATGATAATAATAATCAATATCTGATATTTATTTTTAGTATACTGTTTCCTATTTTGCGCAACCCGGAGTGGATCCCAGCACTTCCTTCATTCCATTAGTTGTCTAGCACCCGTGGTCCCCAAGATCTTCGAATTTGCATTTAATTTCAGCCAAAATTATGAGGGATTGCTCTGAACGGAGGTAGCCAACCTCAGAAAAGTCTGCTACCAATTTGCAGCTACCAAAGGATGAGAGCTTGATTGTTCACTTGCGGGTTCGAACCAAATACTATGTGTGTAATTCTCGATATTCCAGTTGAGCGAACACGAAGTATTACTTTATTCTTTATTCCATTAAAGCTGACGTTTCAGCAGTATCACCATCTTTAGAGCCGCTTATTACTTGCCTTCCACTGAGGAAGAATAGCAGAACAAATTCACCGACCATATGCGACTCTGATCAGCTGTTCTTCTTCAGTGGAAGGCACATAATAGCAGCTCTAAAGAAGGCGATAATGCCAAAACGTCAGCTTTCACGAATAAGGAATAAAGTAACATCTAGTGTTTGCTCAAAAAGAGTATCAAGAACTATTTGATTGGATCAATGCCGAGGTTAATGGAAAGTCGGTTGTGGGAATTACTATTTGTGTGTTTCAGAATACCTCAAACCAGTACACTTCACGCAACCTTTTTAATATTCCCTGTAGTTACTGGATGGCAAAGGACGCGTGTGGCGCAGTGCTCGGAGGCGCCCTGCAAAACACACATGAGATCGATCTCCACGCCCATGGCCCATCAAGCCATCCATCCCTCCGAGGTCGGAAAGTTAGTACCAGACTTGTCTGGAAGGATAGCGCACTGGCTCGATCGGTAGGCCACCGCGGATCTTTGTAAACCCCAGATATGCATTCAATCATCTCCAGATGATGCCTAATGAAGTCGAATGCTTGGCACACCCTCAGGAATTGATCAACGCCGAGATCTTTATCCTTTTTTTACTGGATGGCAGTTGCTTTGACTCATTATTGACGTACACGGTGCATTCCCTCGCATTTAGATTATCCGTTGTAGATGCATATCTGTTTACTTTGTGAGGTACATTAAACAATTTCAAATGAACATTAAAGAGCTCTCGACGTTGATCAACCCCTAAGGGATGCGCGACGCCTTCGACTTCTTTAAGCATCGTTTGGGAGTGATTAAACGCATATCTGGCCTTTACAATGACTCGTGTTGGGTTACCGATGTATCGAGCCAGTGCCGCTATCCTCCCAGACAAGTCTGGTACCAATTTGCCGACCCCGGAGTGATAGAAGGCTTGGTGGGCCAGGGGCGCGGGAATCGATTCCATATGTATTACAGGGCGCCTCCGACCATTGCGCCACACGCATCCCCGAACAGATATTGGTAGGCAGTAAATGCATGGTTTCGTTCTTAGATGAGGAAACTGAATATGCTTTTGATAGAAGTTAATGATAACAGTAGTAGCATTGGAATGCTGAACCATTCATTACTACACCATGTAATTAGCCCGTGTGGCGCAGTGGTTAGACGTGCCTAATAATACAGATATGACTTTTGGTTTGATTCTGCGTCTCACTGAGACAAAATTCTTCTTATATTCGGGGCCGGAAAATTATTGGAAAATTAGTACTAGACTTATATGAGAGAAGAAAAGCGCTGACTTCATACATCTGTAAGCTCTTGCAAACCATTATGTGTGTCAAATATGAATCAATTATCAATCATTCACCGCTATGATGTTTAATGAAGTTTGAAGGGGTATCCAATATATTGAGTAGCGTCGAAAGTTTTATACTTTTCGTTTTTATCCCCTGTAACCTCGCCAATCATCGAATGACTCAAACCAATACCAATGGAGCTCTCTTTTCGTATCTGTCGCGCATCAAGACCGCCAATGAGTCTCCCAGCTCGAGACTCGAGACATATGAGAATTATAACATTTTAAGCAGAAGATCCTTTATTTTACTATTTCTCTTGGAACCAGATTACCATTCCACAGATTTCTGCTTTGGAATCCTGAGTATAGTAACGGTTAATGTCTATTTCTCACAAAAGAGACAAGGAGGTTTTTTGTTCTAGGACGCTTTTAAACTGGAAAAACTTCCAGCATAACCTGATCAGTCTACCCAAAATTCCGCATATGGGAGAAATCTGGTGAAAAGTTCAGTGAACAAAAACCATCCTCTGAAATCGATCGGTTTATTTGTGTCTTTATGTTTTTCCGTGTACGAAGTACACTATGTGTATGAAGTACTTAAGTACGTTCTTATCAGTAAGGGAAGATCACCACTTATCATTGCTCAAGAGACTCTAAAATGATAGATAGTTTAATTCTGCCATCTAAATGATTTCAGCCGTTACTAACTTGAAATAATTAGGATTTTCAATAGGATAAAATCATTGTTGACAATGGCTGGCATACCAAAACACTTGCGATTCGGATTACTATGAACATTGCCATACGAAAGCTAAACGACTCATCATCGCTTATTAATAGCAAAAGCTCAGGCACTTTCGATAGAAATAAATAAAACTTGTTTGTAAGAGGACAGAACAACTGCTAAGACAAATCTCTTTCGATCGCAACTAGTCGTTTCGTATGATGACCCTAGACGCGCGAATAAGTTGCGTAATCGATCACCGTAGCAGGTCAGCAAGTCCTGGCACACTCTAAGGTCGTAATGATGAATAGAAGACATGGTTATTGATCCTAACTAGAGATAAGCTCGATTAAATACATCAATTCTACTACTTCAAGCAGTACTTCTTGCTCTTTACTACTTTATACTGAACTGCAGAAGTAGATAGCCTAAATATAATGTAGTAATTCCGATGATAGTTTACTTCTTCACTCCTTATTTCATCCCATTCTTTCTATTTTACACTCTGCAGAGATTATTTCCAAAGAATAACTCTCTCTGTCCTGAAATGGCATTTCTTCTGTGATGAATGCGCTGAGTCCTTGTTTCGTCTTAAAACACTTGTGCTCTTTAAATCCGTACTGAAAACTGCACTGACTGATGTCTATGCATGGATACGTATGTGAAATAGTGGAAGGATTACCTATATAGATCGTTATTCTGTAGATCCTAGGTGCTCATGACTTACGGATACTAAATATGTATACGGTAATTAATCAGCATACCTACACCTCTAACCGACCCTTGACAGACGATAATGGGTCTTATCGTGTGGATAAAGATCTCTAATAAATTTAACGGTACAAGTAGTTTATTGGATTGGTGATTAGTTTCAACTGTCTTTCAAATAGTCGTTCACACCCGAGAATGTTGCTGACTGGGAGCTACATAAATCTCTGCTCATTTATGGAATATCCTTAAGAAGAAGAGAAGGTAGGCATTAACTTTTTTATAAAAAAAAGTATTTTTCAAGGTATATGAAGGCATAGTTGGATTGTGTAGATCTGAGATCAATTTCTCTTACATAGGAAGGATCAATGACGACTAGTTATCGACATTTCAATTCGTCTTCGTTGTCACTTCGGTCTTCACTGAGGTTTTCGACAGATTCATTTCTGTCCGACGACATCTTACATTTTTCTCATCGATTTCTCGCCACATATGTTGTCCTAATTAGGCTATTAAGCCTATTCCATTATTAATCTATTGTTTACCTGGTTCGGTCTGGATGGTACTCGTCGATGCGCCAACGGTTTGCCTAGGGGATACGCGTCAATGAGACACGTAACCCCCGATCTCACACCGATTACCCCATCGGGGTAGTTGTTAGTTGTCCAGAGCGAATCGTGGGCGTGGTCGTGCAGAGTTTTTTCGTTCCTCTACCGATCGAGAGCGTTCGAATCATTAGTGCTACTGACCCACTAGCCTACTAACCTAGGCGGTCTAAGCATGAGCTCTGCCCGTGTGGAACTCTCCTCGACGAGCGTTGCTGTAGGACCGGTCATCATCAAGAAGGACGACACATCCACGACGTCGACTATCACTACACCGGATGGCGAAGAGAACCAGCGTATGTCGATTTACTTCATATCGTTTCCACAAGAACGTAGCTTTCTTTTTTCTTGTTGAGACTGTGAACAGTTGACCGAATGTCTGAAAAATTTCATTATTACAGCGTTTATTAGTACACAATAGATAACATTTCAGCGGTTTCGCATTCTTCAGAGCCGTCTTGTTCGTTGTAAGTCTTTCAGTTACTTGATGGAGATCCGTCGCATAGAGGCTTACGTGGGCGACGAATGGTCTGTGCAGCTGGTCTCCACCCAAATAACTGGTAGACTTACAACAAGCAAAACGACTCTAAAGAAGACGAGACCACCGAAAGATCAGCTACTGCTTTCATTATGATCATTCATTTCTCTTCATATCCGAAAACAAAGCTCATTGTCCAGTCGTTGATGTTCAGTATCTCTACGTGTAGAGCGTTTCATCCTCTATTCGAAGTCCCACTGGCAGATTGTTGTCTGTCCTATCTGTTCTCGAAGTTTAAATTCCTACTTAAATTGTACAAAGTGGTCTCTTCTGTGAGCTTTACTACTTCCTTGTCTAAGGATTGATCTAGTTTCCATGGAGAAATTCGAGATTTCTTTCTGTAAGTTAGTCACTCAATGCAATCCTATAAATATGATTTGTCTGAAAAATCTGAATCTATAGAGTCGTTTCCAATCAATAAGAAGATTTTGGAGAAATTTTTCTACAGTATTCGAGCAGTAGGTGGAAATGTCCTGATGAACAGCACATACCGCCGGCGCTGTTATCTACCTGGGAATACGACATCATTACATGTCATCATTGTTGATTTCATCCTTTCTCTTTAATCGTCCAATGTATCTGTTGCTGTCTGTCACGACCGAATACCAGTTCACCCTCATGGATAAGGGCAATTTCCTTTTTCCTTTCTACTATTTTTCCTAGTATTCAATTCTATAACTTCGGTAGAAACACGTACGATTTCAGCTCAAATTGAAGTCATACCGTGTAAAGTATGTGGTGACAAATCGTCCGGTGTGCATTATGGTGTAATCACATGCGAGGGATGTAAAGTGAGCTATATTTATTTTTTTTCTTTTTAGTTCAAAAACAGTAGTGCTTGAGAACCAGTCAGTAACCTTTTCGCTATTCAGTAAGATGAAATTTAACCTGACACCCTATCATTTGATTAGGTAGTAGAAGGAACGTAAAAGGCCATCCAACATATTCTGTTGCCATAATTGCTTCGATGTTGGGCGTTTAGATTATAACAGTTTTACATACCTAAGAGACCTAGCTGTGGTGCGTGTGGCGCAGTGGTCAGAGGTGCCCTGTAATACACACATTGGTTCGATCCTGCGCCCGTGGCTCACCAAACTTTCTATCCCTCCTGGGTTGGCAAATTGCCACCAGACTAAGAGGTTGAAAGCACTGGCTCGATACATCGGTAGGCCACCGAGAGTTATTGTAAAAGCCAGCTGTGCGTTCAGTCACCTCTAACGATGCTTGGTGAAGTCGAGTGCATGACGCTTCTCTCAGGAGTTGATCAACGCCGAGAGCTTTATCCCTTATCCCTTATTTCAAGATGATTAGTTACTGAGAAAAGACTGAACAGATAACTGTTGCGTGGTCTTAATTCCATTGCCTTCAGAAACATCTTATCGTTCCAAACTTTATAAAAAGGCTTGCACTGAAAGTGTAATCATGGAAAAACGGTATCTAAATAAGTTATCGTTTCAATATTTTGGATAACGAAACGCAGAAACAAACAAACAACTACGAAAATTTTTTAAATTTCGAAGTTTTAAAATACAGTGGAAGGTGGTTAGTAGGCAAAAGATTATGGAGGGATTGTAATTTCACTACGTATTAACATTCAAGATGAAAGAAATAAGCCTCTTTTACATTGATCTAAATCGGAGTACGTGGCAAGTAAAAGGATAACCAGTTCAGGTGATGAGTGGTTAGTAGTTTTTTCGTTCTCCTGAGATACCTGCAGTTCGTGATAGAGGTGTAGTTTCTGCAGTGATCGTCGTAAAGCACACACTATCATTAGTGGTAGATGATGTTATCACAGTCTCATTTTTAAAAATCTTCGATTGAACTTTGAGAGATAACGTTAGAAGAAGGTATGATTTCTCTGTGTGGTAAAAAAAAATTCATCTGCATCAAACAATTATAATTCAGGGTTTCTTCCGGAGGAGTCAATCATCTGTGACGAATTATCAATGTCCACGACAAAAAAACTGTACGGTAGATAGGTAGTGAATGTCTACTTGCCGATTGTCTGTGGTCTAGAAGAGTTTTAAGAAGAATTCGCAACAGTACGAAATCTTAAGGGTGAACCGTAATCGATGTCAATACTGTCGTTTGAAGAAATGTATGGAATTGGGTATGAGTCGAGACGCGGTGAAATTTGGCCGAATGAGCAAAAAACAACGAGAGAAGGTGGAGGATGAGGTTTGCATGTTCTTGCCCCTTGTATGTGCTGTGTGTATGCAAGAATTCGCTGTCTTCGATGATGACGACGACGGCGGCATGTAATTGAGTGATTCTCGTCAATTTGGTGTTGGCGTCTTCTACTTTCGCATGAGTTGGTTGTAAACCTACTGTAGATCTCTTGTGTCAATACAATCTTACCTTGTGTAGCATTCGATCGAGTTCGACTTAAAAGTCCTCTTTTTAGAATGCGGGATGATAACAAGTTGGTACTTTGCAGGTACGATTACATAAGCAAATGCAAGAAGCTACTGGTATGCCGTATATGTACAGCGAATATTCCCCACCATCACAACAACCAAGTTATGCAGCATCTGGGTAGGTAAAGAGATTAGTAAGGGGATCGTTGTACGGTCTCTTAATCTTTAATCCGTCTTTTTTTCCGGGCTAATACTTTGAATCCCTAATACTGAAACTTTTACGTGAAGGAGTCTAGTGCTATGGGTTTCAGAAGTCCTGAAACCTCGATCTTAAGGTTTCTTCAATGTCTGTCAGTGTTAACTATGATTTCAGTTATGAGACCGGTTTGTATCCCCATTATGCTCAAGGAGCGTATGCTCATGCTGTGGCCGCTGCACCAATCAGTTATCCTTCGCATTCCTATGGAGTCGCTCAGCAAGGTAGATGATTGCTTGTCGGTTGCTTTTTAACATAACGACTAATAGCTCTTACTTCTTGTATTTACGCTTTTTGGAGGTACTGTCCCGGCTAGCAGTGGTGGTTTTCCGTCGCCACAACTTTCATCAGCAGCAGAAGAAGATACAGCCGCAAAGATTGTTGCCGCATTTGAGACCACTCACACCCAGATGCGGAATATGAATCCGAATCCAACGATTGTTGACGTTAATAGATTCGCATCCCTAGTTAGTCGCTTTTAGCAAAATGACCGACAATACTGTTTAGAACACGATAATTATGAATTGTCAGGACTTCCAGAATCGAATTGGCATATGGCGGCAGTTTGCTGCCGATCTTACAACTGTTATTCAAGCGATTATCGAATTTGCGAAAATGATCGACGTTTTCATGCGACTTGGACAAGAGGAGCAAATCCACTTACTCAAAGGTCAGCTCCATCAGTTCTTTTTTTCCTAGATATTGCACCCACCTTTCATCACACCTGTGTTTAGGCGGTGTGTTTGAGTTAGCCATTGTTGAACTGTCTTCTCGCTACTCCCCTGAGACACAGACGTTGTCCATGGATAACATTGTTCTCCCGCTGCACAATCTTAATATTACGGATCAAATTGAAGTGAGCTTTAGAGATGGTGTTTTTCTTTGACTGGATACGTCATGATCGTACAAGTATAATATACCTTTTTACTTAGTATTTCCATATAGGCCTTATTGTTCCTCCATTTAAGTGGTGTTACAGGTACGATTTGTCCAAGAACTCCATCAATGTTTGCATGACTTGGCAATCTGCCAGCTAACATCCTCCGAAGTAGCTCTACTATGTGCAGTACTTCTGCTAGAACCTGCATCTACAGAACAAGCAACATGCGAGCGCCTTCGTAGTGTTTTGGCTCAGTCTCTGGCTGCCCGAGTTGGGAACGATGCTCAGAGAGTTTGGGATACGCTTCCAAGATTAAAACAAACTGCTCATTTACACTTAATTTTACTCGGACAACTTCGAGTACAGTTCCCATCTGAAACCGAAGCTGGATTACCGGCTTTGTACAAAGAGTTGTTTTCGATTGATCCGTAATTTATAAACTTATTTTAAAGGAACCAGTGAGTGATGTTCTCGTTGTTTGTATTCATAACAGTATCGTTCTTATCATTGCGTTTCGACATCAGGATGATGTGCAGATGCCGAATCGGGCAATAAGTTTTTTTTCTGAGTAAGTCATAATCTCCTTGAGCGCGTGAATACTCTGACCGACGATCCTACAGTCGGTCTTCTTCTGACATTCCATAGGGCGTTGTAGCTGACAACACTACCCGTACGTCTTCTATGAATAAGACTAGCGTTTCTGATTGTGTTTTTCGTTTTCTATCTTTTCTTCCTTAGTAAGTTGATGGTTATAGGAATGCGCATTTATATTGGTCTATTCGTTATTCGTTGTTCTTCTTCAATTCTTCGATATGTGTTGGCATTTAACGCCATTCACACGGGTTACCTATCACTACTTGCAACGTTGTTAGGCGTTTTTTTCTGTTCTCTACATGCCCTTTTTACTCGGGACATGAGAGACATGTTGTTCCTTGGCATACTTGATTCAGTCAGTCTCATTCAAATGCTTTATTACCATATTCGTTGCAACTGTGTATGTCCAAATTTAGGCATTTGCAATCTATCTCTACAATCTCTTTATTGTAAATTGTATGCAAAGTATCTATAATAAGTCCTTAATCGTTTATGTATGTACAAATTGATTTCTTAAGCACGGTTTCGTCCAGTTTTGAATTCTCCTACATCCACCATTCACGTTTACACTGCTGGCAAAACAGGTAATTATTATAGCACCGGGGTGCTACTGGGGACAATAGATCATCACCATTCGTGTTCCTCTTAATTATATGAGTCGTATATTTCTTCGTTGTGGGAAATCTGATTCATTCTCAATGATTGGATGCTGGATGTATGTAGTAGATTTCTATCTATCGTCCCAAACCGCAATAATATAAGCACTAAGCTGATGTCTTGTCATTATCACGAACGTGAATTGCATATTCGGATTGTATCGACGAACATTCTTCTCTCCAAAGTTTCGAGGTAATTGACACTGCAATATGTGACTGTGACTTTTTCACGTATCTCTTACTTCATGTGGATTTTTTTTTCTTATCATGTTCACTTCCAGTTGATAAATCTCAACTAATTTAGTGTTTTGAGCGGTCACAATAGGGTAAACATTGAAGTATTTCTGTACATCTTATGTGTGGAAATCAGCTACGTAGATGAAATTTTCGGCTTGTTTGTCACAATTCCAAGTCTACGGTATGACCCTCAGCGCAAAGTAGTGTTTTGTTGATGCGGTAAGGTACGACAACAACGAAGAGCTATTGAATAGTTTCGGCCCGACGAGCCGCTGGAGGTCAGCTGGACACCGAGTGGCACCCACACGACGCACGACCTTGTTAGTACGAACATCCTTTCGTCGTTTATCGCGTCAGCCACGTGTGTTGCGTTCCGTCAGATACTTTAGATGAGGCTATGGATAGATATCGCTAAGCCTCTGTCTGCTCATCATCCATCACATTCCAAAAATTCATCGCATCGTAGTCAGAATTCAGCAAGCAATAGCATTTTGTGGTAGCTATGGGTCGGTAATGATGTGCTTCTGCCTCAGAATTGTGAACCATGTCGAGGAGCTTCGCTTCTTTTTCTTTCAAGTTTGAAAGTCCAGTCAGGCAATTTGAAAAATCAGTAGATCTCAAATTGTTGCCTGACCTGAAACTTAGTTGTTTTTGAAATTTGGAGTCCTAATGTGCCAAAGATTTTTCTTCGAAATGCTTAGCACGCTAAATTTGAACTGCATTAGAAGGACGTAATTCAAAGATCCATAAGTTACAGTACTTTTTTCCATCGGCATTTGCATATGTTGATGAGCCAGAGTATCGTCAACCTAATCTCAGCTATCGTTTCCTCTTAGCAAATTCCTAGGGGCATACGATGTCAGCAGCGTATGCCATTGGGAAAAAATCCCATCTCGTATACAATCTCACGCAATCATTCACTGTTTTTCTTAATGAACAAACACGAGGTTAGGCTCTATCAAATAACTGAGAGACTTACAATGAACAAAACGGCGAGTTATAATCACAATCTTAATCTTTTTACTTAATGCCTATTCTTTTTAATGGCAGGGTATGTTGCGAAATATAACTTTCAATGATGCTGAGATATGAACACGTCGTTTTCTTGTTCAGCAATCGCGAGGTTTTTAAACAGCATACATTTACTTCCATAGAAAAACACAATGCAATACAACACTAGCTGACGTTTCGGCGGTATCATCTTCTACAGAGCCTGGAAGGGTATACTGATATACAATCTACTAGGCCAAATTGGTAATTACATGATCAGAGATCAGATGCTGAGATATTTGTAAAACTCCGGATTGCAGGTGTCTACGATTTGGGATCTCCAGATCAGTCCCGTCGAAGGGTGATTGGTGGTGGCAATGATCGATAGAACTAGCTGAGAGACAGGTGAAACGAAAGACCCGCATGGTGTGGTGGTGAACGCGTTACTCCCCGGAAAGGATAACAGCGCGTTCGTTCCTCACCGCAGACACTTGCGGTCCGGAGTTTTGCAAATATCTCAGTATTATAGAAAACGGCGAGTGTTTGAAAGAAGTTCATCCGTGTTTGCTCATCCAAAAAAACAGTGGAGTATTGATCATTGCCGAGGTTAAAAGAAAATCAGTCTTGAGACTCATACAATCATTTCATAGATGAGAAATTCTTCTGAACGGAAACGCTGATTTCATTATCTTAACTCTTTTATTTACTGCCTTTTTCTTCTTAATGGCAGGGTATGTTTCGAATTATAACTCGTATGAAATGCTGAGATATTTGCAAAACTCCGGACCACAGGTGTATGCAGTGGGGAACGAACACACGCACAAGCGAAGACAACGTGGTAAATCAGTGAAGTTACGATATGGAGCAAAGCTACAGCAAATGATTTTCGATAAGATGACATTATGTTCCTCATATGGTTCTATCCGCTTGTTGTTGTGTATGACAAAAACATACGAACAAGGTTACGCCAAATAGTTGATAAGTTTAGGCGTTAATTTATTGACGGTGTTGTAAAAACGAAGTGAACGAGACATTGATGTTCTTAACCCGACAAGATAAAATTGCAACTGACCAATTAGACACGGCCATTGATCAGAAAAAGAAAAGAGGACCACCGTGTAGATGATATGACTATAGGTCAACATTGAAATTTTTCCTATACGTAAGCTTTATGCCGACAATATAACCATTATGGAAGAATTAGCATAATAACTAAGATCGCCTGAGATCTTGGCCCACAGAGAAAGATTTGATAAGTCGTACTGAATGGAATTCCTACTGTGGTTGTAACAATTTCTTGCACATCTACATTTGCGAAAACGAGCTATTCTAATGCCCATGACATCCGAGTTTTTTTCTAAAGCTTTATCACAATTTCAATATTTTAAAAAACTTGTCATACACGTAGATTACGTCGATAATCAATCCTTTCCCCAGAATCAGTAATAGATAGCCTTGTCGAAAGAGCTTGACGGAGCTCAAGCTGGTAACGTTGTCTTTCGAAGATACCTTTCATTGTCACTAATCCACTAATACGCTTCAATATTACCCTCATGGAGAGAGTGAAAAAATGAGGATATAATTCAGCTACCAAATACCACAGCAAGCGTTTAGTAACTTTATTTCCAAGTCTCATAATAATGAACTACACATATGAGTAAGCCGTACCCCCTATTATATATTACAACACAGACAATCCTAGGAATTTTGTAGTAGATCCTAAGGATTTTGCTATAAGGCAGCGGAGAAGACAGTAGGATATCAGGGCATTTAACGTGGCCTGTAGACAACGAACTCAGTAACATAATTGGCACGGTAGAGACATATGAAACTGAACGGGAAGGGAGTGGAAATTTTGTCCAATAGAACAGTGTCCTGGTCATACAAAGAAGAATAAGCTCTGTCGGCTGCATGATACGAATAATAGCAAGTCATAGGGTATTTTCCCTACAAACCGTTGTCATCGATAATGACAACTCTGAAAAAATAGTATAGCATGTTCAGTATAAAAACTTGCGATATATAACTATAATGATGCTTAACTATTTACAAAACTCAGAAGCCTTGGCAGACTGGAAACCATAACTATTGGAACTAACGTGTTGCCCACTGCACCACTGAGGTCCTCGCTTTGAGTTTCTCTCAGTAAGTTTTCTACGCTAGTGGTGCCATCAGCAATTACTCGCCAATGGAATTAATTCGAGCAGCACAAATCAGCACTGAATCTAGTTGAGCTGACGATACAGTCGAAATCAAAATGTGTGACTTTTTATTTATTGCTTAGTTTTCTTTTATCATGGCAGGATATTATGTAAAATACGATCACAATAATGTTGAGATATTTGCGAAACTCAGAATCCAGGATTGAATGCCAATTTGTGCTCCCCAGATCATTCCGTTGATAGGTGATTGCTGATGACATCGCTAGGACGAAGAACTTGCTGAGGAAAACTCGAAGCAAGGACCTCAGTGGTTCAGTGAGTAACACATGGGCACCAGGAAAGGGTAGTCGTGGCTTCGAATCTAGTCTGGGGTCTGACTTGCAAATATCTCAGCATCACTGCCGCTGTATTTCACATAGAACCTTACCATGAAAAAAAGAATATGCAACAAATAAAAAAGCTACTCAATGTTATGATATCTACCTTTAAAAACGGATTTCCGCACGAATTCTGTATGCATAAATAATAACACAGGGTACTTACTTGATACTTGAACGGCCCGTCCGTACTGGTTGTACGGTCCCAGCATAATCACTATTTCCGGAAATACCATGACAGTGGTAAATCCTGGTATTGGTTTACTCTTAGCTGGGATTCCTGATTGAAACGTCGGACTCCTTCTCAGCTTGGGAAACCCTGCCGGGGGACGAATCCCCCTGTACATCGCAGTCCGACACCCAGGAACACCTCCCAGCCACGATGAAGCGGTAAACCATTAGAAGGATATCTTAGT